GAGAGAGAGAGAGAGAGAGAGAGAGAGAGAGAGAGAGAGGAAGAAGAGGGAGAGAAGGCAAGGCCCTCCTCCCTGGTACATGATACGGTAGCTATGGCGCCGCAGGGACTGGCGCTGGGCCGTGGGCTGGGCCGGTGGCTGGCGCAGTTCCCAATGCTGCGCTGTTTCCTCTCTGCCGCTGAGCTCCTTTTCTCCTTGCTACTCACGGTAACACTGCAGCGCTGTGCTAATGCTGCTAACGCTGAAATGCTGCGCTAATCCTGAAGACTAACCTCCTGTCTACTAACCCACCGACTGAGGCTGGTACCCAGCTGATATAGTGCTGGGTCGGCCTCAGTCCTACTGAGGCTTTCGGGTCTGGACCGTTGATCAGGCCCAACGGTTCAGATCCGATTTCGGAATCTGAAAAGTGGGCGCCAAAACTGCGCTGCCGGCTGGGCCTACAGATGGACCGGTACCTGGCCTAAACAACTAGCCGTTGGGTCTGGTGGGGACTAAACGAGGCCCACCGGACCCTAAACTGAACCGACGGTTCCTAGGCCTCCCTGGACCTAGCTGGGACCGTCGTGACCTGGTACCTAGGCCTAAACTGTGCCTATTACAGAACCGGGCCCTAACTGGGGCCCGTGTGGTATCAGTATGCCACACACTCCCCCCCTTGAAGACCGAGCTAACTGCGAGGGCAAATCTGTCTGTCCGATGTCCGTACGGAGCGGGCGGGTTGGGCAGCTTCCTCAGCAAGTCGCTGTTTTTCGTATGCCCGAAGATGAGGGGTGCTGTCGCCTTCAGGTCAGCTCGTGAAATCCAGCGTGTGTCGTCGGGATCGCGTTGCTTGAATGTGACTTTGTACTGAATTGGCTTGTTGACGTGCTTGCGATGAGCTAGGACGCGGTCGACCTCCTGGTGACCATCCATTGATGGAGGGTTATGTGACCGTCTACCCGGGAAATCCGCTGCTGAGGCTGGAGTATAGACCGCCAGCTTCGAAGCGTGAAATACTGGGTGGACCGTCAAATGCGGGGGAATCTTGATTATGAAAGAGGGGACCCGCGGGGTCGTCCCAACTGCTGAAGTGACCTTCCGTGGACAAAACCACTTCGGGAGGAGATTGCGCAAGACGTGCTGCTCGAGCGCGAATTCCTCAGAGGTGACCCAGACAAGGTCGCCGGCAGGAATTGGACATGGGATGCGACGTCGATTCGCTTGCTGCTGCATACAGACCTGAGCCTTTTGCATATTTGTGCGGGCTTTGGCCAGCAGTTCCCTGTACTTCCATGTAGAAGTGGGGGAGCAAGCCACGTCGATATCGGCAGCCCGTGGAAGCAAAATGTCTATGAAGATACGGCCTTTCCGTCCACCATGATGCAACTCAAAGGGATTCACGCGGATCGCAGGGTGCACCGAAGTGTTGTAGGCGAACTCGATGTCGCGAAGGCGGTGAACCCAGTCCTTCTGTTCCGGGCGGATGAGTGTGCGGAGCATCATCTGCGCAGTCTGGTGCGCACATTCCGTTTGCCCATCCGTTTGAGGATGTCGTGCGGAACTCGGTTTCATGCTGGTGTTGGATTCCACTATGAGTGTCGTCGAAAAGGCTGACATGAA